TTTAGAGAGAGAACCTCCCAAACTTGCTCACCTTTCAACCCCTTAAAATGATAGATATTGCTTCAATATATAGCAAAAAGAGAGCATTTGGTCGAAATGTCTGAATATAGAGACAGCTGGAGCATTTGGAAGACAGCTGGAGCAAAATATCTTTAAATTATGAGCTTTCTGGACATTTATGGCCGACCGGCCATCTTTTTGGCCGACCTGCTACTAATGATGGCCGATCGGCCACTTCCATGGCCGACTGCAAATTCTGCTCTGCAGGTCCGACTTCAAATGGGCATAACTCCTTCATTTAAACCCCTTTGTAGGTCATTCTTGCATCTAAATTGAAGCCCTGGAAGTAAGATTTCCAATGGTGGAAGCTTCACCTCAAAATGCCAAGTGTGCTAAGAGATATCCCTCTTTTAGTGAAGACTGCTCATTTCCGGCTCAATCGGATTGATGCCTAACTTCAACCAACCATATCTCCCCCATCCGAACTCGACTTTAGGAGATTATTGAGTGTAAAATGAAGCCTCGGAAATCTTATTTTCAATGGTGGTGGCCTCATAGCTGAAATCCAAGTATACAAGTGGATAGGCCCGATTTAGCGAGGACTGCTCATCTCTCTCCTAACGATTCATGCCCAACGTCTTCCTCAACTAGGTTTCTTCCCTCCACTCCTCTTTTATTCAACTCCAAACCCCAAAACAAGATGTTTTTGAAGATTTTTTGAAGAGTTCACCTCTCTTTCATGCATTTCCACTTTGCCCTTGCTCGATTTTTCGAAAAGCGCACCATTTAACAAAATACGAGTGTCGAAACATCGCAGAAACTTTGTTTCAAAAATGTTTTGAAAGAGAGGATTTTAAGGTCTAAAATCTTTGGTCAAAATAGTTTTAGTCCAAAAATGGGGTGTAAGATTGGAATTTGACTCTCTTCTTGCTGAAGAAATTGAACCTTTGCACTGCACACCTCATCACCAACTAAATAATCAGTGGCGCCCAAGTCTTAAGGACAGTCAAAAATAGGGTGTCTACAGCGTGCACTTCCACTCGAGTTACATGATACTCGCTCAAGCGTGAAATGCATGTGTCTAGAAGTTCGCATGTTTTGCAGCACGCTCAAGTGACAGAAGTCACGCTCGAGCGACGGTCTGAGCCTCACACTCGAGTGGGTATCGAGCGTCCGTCGAGCGTGAAAAGCAAGCAACCAGTACTTTTCTGAATTTACAGTTCGCTCAATCGAGGGAAGTCACGCTCGAGCGAACCCTCACATTTTGCATGTCTGCTCGAGCAAGGAAAGCCATGCTCGAGCGAGGACCCTGTTTTCAGAAATTTGACTAAGTGTTTTCCAATACATTTTGGCATCCTCATTGCATCTTAGACATTCATAAGCCTTAGTTTAGCTATAGTAATGAGGATATGAATTAGAAACACACTAAGAAAGGAATGTACTATGTTAAGAAATTACAAGTGTGTGTCTTGAAGCAATGTGATAAGAAAGAACAAGAATCAATGTAAGAGAGCTAAGCTATAACGGCCATGTGAACATGTGTAATGATAAGATATGTTTGTGTTATGTACTTTTGTGTTTGTAGGTCAACGTCCGGAGATTGATTGACCGTTTACGGGAGCCCACTGTAAGTAACATTTCTGTAAAGATATATTGATATAAATTATGTTTTAATTGTTATCGATAAGCTATAGTTTCTTGAAATGCTATCTTGATTATGTGAACGAATGTCCTATTTTTGAATCTATTATGGCATCCACAGATAGTCCCAAGTCATGGGGGACGACATGTAAATGCAGGTCCATGACAAACCAAAAATAGTTTGCAAAGGTGGCAAAACAAGTGTGCAAGACAAGCTTAAAAGGGACAAGTGCTTACCCTTGAAGCACAACCTGAGCCAAAACCAGCTTTGAGAGCTCAAATAGGACCTCCAAGAACCTCAACAACAAGGTAAAGGTGTTTGGTCTAGGGTCTCTTTATAAGAGTGTAGGAAATTCTCACTTCTAAGCACAATATAGGAAGAGAGAGAGGCTTCTAAAGAGAGAGGTTGGAATTTTGCTCACAAAATTATAGAGAGAGAGAGGGCTTTTTAGAGAGAGAACCTCCCAAACTTGCTCACCTTTCAACCCCTTAAAATGATAGATATTGCTTCAATATATAGCAAAAAGAGAGCATTTGGTCGAAATGTCTGAATATAGAGACAGCTGGAGCATTTGGAAGGGTTTGGGTTGGGTTTGAAGTGATGTGTTAGAGAGGTGATATGACTTAAATAAGATGATGTGACTTAAATAAGATAGTGACTTTTTGACTTTTTATCTTTTTTCAATTATGCGAACTATTGAAAATGCTCTAACTTCTTTATTTTGTTAAGGGGCTATGTTTTGCTTTACAATTCAATACTAGGAGAGTACCACTTTAACATGTTAATATAATAGTTCTGGATCAATAAAAGCAATAATTACAAGATGAGTGGAGTGCAAAACAAAATAAACCCCATCTATTTCTTTTCATGTACCATGTGCACGTATCACAATAATAATGTAAAATTAATTTTCCTGTAATTCTGACATTAAATTGTTGGTTTGAAGTTTTAATTTCTCTTTCTTTTTGTTGAGATGGAAGTACACATGTGAATCCTGTAATTTTATTCGCCAATTGGTCTTTATCGTTTTTGGTTTTTGTTTTTTGACTATGGATGAAATATAAGGACTTCATAGTTGATGAAGTCCCACACTTCGAACTCATCTCAACATAAAACTCTAATAGTGTGTTTGGTTGGGGGATTTTAGAAGGAATTTGGAAAAAGAAAGGAAAAATATGTGTGAAATTAGGTAAAATATATGTATATTTTATTCACATTTCACCTACCTTTTTCATTTTCCTTTTCAAATCCCTCTACAAATCTTTCAACCAAACACAACATAAAAGATTAACAAAGGTAATTGGGTTAGCAAGCTTAAATTTATAGAGCACCTCATATAAGTTTATAAACTTTAATTTGGTTTTGTAAAGTTGTTTGAGTTTGCAAACTTTGATATTAAATTTTATATAAGGAGAATTTCAATTTCATTCAATATTTTTTTGTGAAGTTTTAATTTTTTTAAAAAAAACCTGTATTTATCACGTGTTGTTATTATATTATATAACATCACCGAATCATCAATTGTTATTTCGTTATGTTGTCTTTTTCAAGCATTAACATATACTTGATAGATTTTACTATTTAAATCAATTACAATCATAGAAAGTACCCCGTGATAATATCTTCTAAAGTACCAAAATTACGCTCTAAGAAATCTACTATCAAACATAAAAAATTACTCCAATGTCCTATTCGGCAAAGCAGATAATGTGAATGGATCTCTATGACATTATCGCATAAGAGCATTTTTAGTGAGCTCTTTTAGAATCGTTAAGTCTTTGGCATATCACTCAACCTCAGAAAAACCCTCCAATTTGTGTGTTAATGTATAGCTAATTTAGCTTTGAATTAAAAGGTGTGCTTATTCTAGCAAATGCGTGAGCACAGGGAGATGGGGATTTGTTGTAATTTTTTTTAAAATTTGTAATCATCTATATTATCATTACCTGTATATAAAGCATATAACTCTCCATATTATCATTACTAGTATAGAAGGCATATAACTCTATCAGTATGAACTGTTTCTTTTCTACTTTCTTTTTTTATTTTTTTAATTTTTTTTTTTAATTATCAAATTGTTTCAGTACAACCATCTCCATATAATTACTTCAAATTTTGATTAGTTTTTAAAGTTTTTTCTCCTTCTACATTCAATTAGTTGATTTTTATAGCAGGTCAATTCGATGTGCACACCGTCTAATAAGATTTATATATATATATATGTAGATTTTCCTCTTACTCAGTCATCGTTTGGGATGTGAGTTAACTTTTTTATTTTTTGACGAAAAAATGAAATGATTATGATTTAGATGTGATATTTTGTCTTTTTGTAACTAAAATAACCAAAAAAAACATACCAAACATAACCTCAATATACACTTTAATTACGTAATTGGAGCACTGACTCATTATCTAAACTAATAAACACTCAATGTACAAAATTATAACCCAATTTTATCAATTAACACATATTATAACACGCAAAATTTAAGGATAAATTGTGGGCCAATCCTATGTGATGGATTTAATTATCTATAAGCCTTGTATATTTTTTTAATGCACTGATTTTTGTGCCCCAAACCCTTTTTGAGAATATTAACAGGTGAAAAAGATAATAGTAGGACCGACCATAAAAATCGAATGAATCGTAAATCAGTCCAGTCTGGTCCATACCAAATAGGCAAACCGTACTCACGGTTCAATCCATGATTTTATAATTACGAATCTAGTTGGAATTGAACCGGACTGTTTAGATTATATATATAATTTATTACTGAATGTAAACACTAAAATATTTTATTAATATTAAATTAATATATATATAAATTTTAATTTCTACTATTATAAGTATATTTTTGTGTAGTGATAGAACTAGTTTTAAACAATCCGGTAAACAATTCTTAAGTTGTAAATAATGATAATATTTTTAAAATTTGTGGTTCCAAATCGAACCGAACTGGGGTTTAGTGGTTTGAGTTGGATTGATTCTAAGATTTTCACAGATTGATTCCAAGATTTTCATGGATTGATTTGGATCCAAATTTGATAGAACCGTAAGTAATGAATTAATATTAATTTATGGCTAAACCGAATCAAACCAAACCATACTCACCCTTAGGGAATAGAACTTATAAATTAATAAGTCTGATAGATAGGATCGACTCATAAAGCCTACTAAATTTAAAAGGCCCATTGAAGAGCCTCTGAAAACACCCGACTAGCCGCTCCATCAACTTCGGCATATCAGCCCGCCAAAAAACTGGACTTTCATTTTTTGGGCCTTATTTCTGGGTCACACAAAGTTCGAAGCCCTGTTTCCACCCGTATCCTGTTCTCTAGGCGCATGTTAGAAACGACGGAAAGCAAACAATCAATTCTTATCCGAGAGAAAGAGAGCTCACATGAGGTGCGCAGGATAAGAAGCTATGCCACTCCTCCTTCATCCCTGCAACTCTCTGTGTCTCCTTACCCCATCGCTACCACTCTACAACTTCACTCCTGCCCACAAAACCCCAAAAAACGGATCTTTAAACGGGTTATTCAAATGCCCCGGTTCAAAAACCTCAGTTTCCATTTCTGGGTCACCTAAAACCCTAACTTTTTCTTTGAATTCCTCAGTTTGGAGAACAACCCATATCTCCTTTTGCTCACAAAACGAGGTTCTTGAGAAATTTCCGGGTACCGATTTGCCCGAACAGCCCGAAAAAGAGGCAATTCAAGAGAGTGAAGAACTTGGCGCGCAATTGCGTGTCAAGCCAACTCCCAAACCAGTTACCAATGAATCTGTCACTGAAATTGATACAAAGCCCCAAAAACCCGATGAGGATGAGGTTTTGAAGCCTTTCTTGAAGTTCTTTAAACCTAAGGATTCATTAGAAGAATCAATTGATTCAGAAGAGACTAATGAGGAGGTTGAGATTGGGGAAGAGAGTAAAAGGGTCTCTGTTGAGTATTATGATCCGAAACCCGGTGATTTCGCGGTGGGAGTAGTTGTTTCGGGCAATGAGAATAAGCTTGACGTGAATGTTGGGGCAGACTTGTTGGGGACGATGTTGACTAAGGAAGTGCTTCCTTTGTATGATAAGGAAATGGATTATTTGTTGTGTGATACAGAGAAGGATGCTGAGGAGTTTATGGTGGTTGGGAAGATGGGAATTGTGAGGGATGATGAGGCAGTGAATGGAGAACCGGTGCCCGGGAGGCCTGTGGTGGAGCCTGGGACTGTTTTGTTTGCTGAGGTTCTAGGAAGAACGCTAAGTGGTCGGCCATTGCTATCGACGAGACGGTTTTTCAGGCGAATTGCTTGGCACCGAGTGAGGCAGGTTCTTTTCTTGCTTCTTATGTTTTACCCAAAGGCATTTTATGATTCTCTAGTAAATTCCATGGACTTGATGCTTGATGTTATACCAATGTTATGTTTTTTTTTTAACATCTCAATTCTGCAACATTTTGATTACTTCGCGAGAGGATGATTCAAGAACTTAAAAAGTTAGTGCAAAACAATAAAAAGTATTAAGTCAAACTTAGCAAAGTAGAAACTCTGCCCTATGGGAATTTGTGACAACAGTAGAAACTGTGTCCTGTAAGAGTTACACATAGTGTTTGTCATGATAATTGGTAAAATGTTTGGTTCAAGAGCGACTATAATAGTATTTAAAGTGTTTCATGATGCAAAAGTTGCTTAATACTTGAACCAGTTGGTGGCAGATACATTATTAAGATAATAAGCTTAGAAAATTTTGGTTGTTGGACACACGTTCCGGTGGCTGGGCAGCAGGGAAAAATCTATCATGTTAACAAGCTTAAATGGACGATATTCGTTGAGCATCATACAGTATTAGTTTTTGATTGATATCATATTAAATTTTGGGCAGATTAAGCAGCTCAATGAACCTATTGAGGTTAAAATTACGGAGTGGAACACCGGTGGCCTCCTTACAAGAATTGAGGTTTGGCTTTGTTCTCTCTTTCTGTGTGTGTGTGTCGTGCACTCCCCAACTCAATACATCACCTTACAGAATTTGGTATTGCAGGGCTTGCGAGGTTTTCTTCCAAAAAATGAGTTAATGGGTAGAGTCAACAGCTTCACTGATTTGAAAGAGAATGTAAGCCAACATTTTTTCGGAATTCTTAATGTATTTCTCAGTAAGATAGTTGGATAGTGATTATTTCTATACCATTTGGGATATACATGGTGCATTGGTGCCTTTATTCTTCAACAGACATCAATCAGAGTTCTTTTTAGTTGGAAGAATTAGAATGTGTGACGTGACTGATTAAAAGATATGAGATACCTTTAAATGTGGTTTCTTCCATTGCATCTTGAATATTTTTGTTCACAAAAGGAAAATGTAGTTTCACAATAGAAAATTAAGAAATAAAATCCAGGCTTGGATGCTTTGCTTGCCTACCCACCCAATGATGCCCTTCCAAGTGGGATGGGGAGAATAAATCTCTTGTTCATTGGATGATGCCACATCGGGGGTTGATGGACTGTTTTCTCTGTAGAATATCAATATTGTGGAGGAAAAGAAGGAAAATTTTCTTCACTGGACTTGGATACAAGTGAGTTTGAGAGTTGTCATGAAATTAGTGGATTTTTGGCCATTTTGTATTCCATGGGTCACAAAGCCTAGAGGCTCAGATTACATGTTTCCTCAGATTTTGATCGCACGAGGTTTTAAAGTTGAGGTTTATATGAGTTATAAGCATATGTGGAGTGTATACAATTTAGAATTTTCTGTTTCTATTGAAACAAATTTATTGATGCAAAAAGTATATACTGAATTAAATCTGATGGGAAACAAAAGAAAGAAAGAAACAAATGCCAAATTACATTTATAAAAAAAAGGTTTCTGCTACCGTCAAAGCACTAGACAGATTAGCACAATGGGGCCAAATTGGATTGCCATCTAGCTAACATTTAGCCTCCGTTTGGGAAGTGGGTTGGCTTTTTGGCTTTTTGACTTTTTTTGACTATTTTAGCCTGGACTAAAAAGATTGGTTTGGGAAGGATTTTTTGGCTTTTTTGACTTTTTTTGTGAGAGAAGAGTGTAATGATTATGGGTTGGATGTGATGTTTTGTTTGTTGTGGCTAAAATAGCCCATTTTGTTTTTTGTGGCTATTTTAGCCCCAAAACCACTTGCCAAACACCACCTTTAAGTTCTGCTTTCACTATTTTATAATCAAGTTATGAAATTTTCTTCCTTGTTACTTTTCGCCTAGGCTGTTGCTTGCTCTATTTTATTGGTTTTATGCTCTTTACTCATTGTTATTTTCTTTGGTGTAGGTGGGACGCAGAATATATGTGCTGATTACTAGAATGGATGAAAGTAATAATGACTTAATACTCAGCGAAAAGGCTGCTTGGGTCAGTTTTTCTCCTAACTATCTCATTTTGTTGCTTGATGTGTTCCTTGGGTTTAATGTTTGATACTTTTCTCTATATATGTATTTAAGTATATGCATATATACACACATAGGTATAATGAGAGCTTGACTTCGGTCTATAATGTTTTAGGAAATGTTACACCTTCGAGAGGGAACACTTCTGGAAGGAACAGTAAGAAAAATTTATCCATATGGTGCACAAATAAGGATAGGTGAAACTAACAGAAGGTGAGTCTCATTTCATGTCTGGTTTTGTTTTGCAAATTTATCCCAATATGATTAGCATGCTTGCATTTGTCTACTTAACTTTTTTTTTTTTAAAGAAAATAATATGGGGGGGGGGTGTCGGGTCTTATCCCTTGGTTTATAAAGTTTGGAACCAAGCTACTTGTTTTGACTCTGAAGTAAAGATCTGTTGACTCACCACACAAGAAAATAAATCTCTTTGTTACTCAGATAGAGATAGATATGGAATTCTTAAAAAGACTAAAATGATATTACGTTATAAAAATCATGAGATGAAGATACGAACATATAGGACACTGACAGAAGAAGGTGATTTGCATCTTATTTAACATAGTTGGAGTGCTTGCCAAATTATTTTTGTTTCTTTTTTGGAGTTTTCTCTTGTTTTATTGTTTATATATTACTTCATTAAACTAGGAGATGGTTCTATCAGAATTTGGGACATTGGTGTTGCACAAACCACAAACCATGTTGTGTTTATGTCATGTTTATAAGGATATCATAATTGTTGAAATCATGGACATGGTATTTATATCTGATAAAAGTAAGCTATATAAGTTGACTTAATATGGTATTCTAATTTGCAAGGGCTAACCCAGGACTTTTGTTTCTTCTATTTTTATTGTAATTTTTTTTCTGGGTAAAAAGTTTATTGATGATGAATGGGACACACAAAAGTTTATTGTAATTCTGTACCCTATGCTGAAGACAGCTGTAACTGAACTTTCATTTAATAAAGCTGATGCCAACTTTCTGAACTAATTTGGATCCATAATAATTTAAATTTATTTTACAGCAACAAAGTTCATGTAGTTGTCTGCTTGTTTATTATTTGATTAAATTGATTGCAATATGTAGAAAATTTAATCTATAAAGAGAAATAGAGAATTGTATTATTGATTGATATTAATGTTATGGTTACAATGATTCCTATATATAGGAGAGGGTGAGTGTGTAGTAGGTGAGGAGTAGGTGAAGTGGAGGTGGTAGTGGTGTAGTGGGTTAGGTTTAGTGGAGTAGGTTTAAGTGGGTGAAGTAGGTGAGGTGAGGTGGATTTTAACACAATATTTGCTTGTGCTATCCCCCCGATTTATCTTTATATTTTGGGGAAAAAGTGCAAGAATTTTTAGTGCCTTGAATGGAATTCAGAGGAAGACCAAGGAGTTGACCTCAGGTGCTCCTTTCCTAGGTGTGATGCTCGACTTCGAGTCTCACTGTTGTGTGATAAAGTTGTGTAAAAAAAAAAAAAAATTTAAAAAAGGAATGGAATTGTGAGGAACACCATTTTCAATCTGATTTTTTAGTTTATATGAATATCCATAATAACTGCTTTTACACAAGCATTTCTCTTTAAATGATTAAATCTTACATATTGATTTTGAGAAACGAGCCATTCACTAATGGATCTTACAAAATTAACAGAGTGTTAACCTACATTGTAAGTTTGAACCTGGAAGAGGTCAGTTGAAAATGGAACTATTTATGTTCATCTTAGGAACAAATGCTAGCTTCTATGAGGTGCATAGATGGTTCCTTTTAAACTGCATTAGGTAGCAAAACTCTATGTGAACATGGTGTCATCCAACATTAGAAATTTAGATGTGAAAGAGTTGGGTTAAAAAATGAACTTCTCCAATCTTATTTTCATTTTTGAACTACATTTTTTCACTGCTGGTTCACTAGTTTTGTTGAAAATGATTTTTTTAATCATCAGTGTAGAATTGTCTTAATTTTTATACTGTATTTCAGTGGGTTGCTGCATATCTCAAAAATCACTCGACACCAAATTGCTTCCACTGGTGACCTGCTTGCAGTTGATGAGAAGGTTAAAGTTCTGGTTGTGAAGTCGATGTTTCCGGACAAAATATCTCTCAGGTAAGGAAGAATTGGATTCACAGTTTCATGTCACACGGACTTGATGCATCAAAATCATTTTCTTATCATTTTACTTGGTAGTGAAAATGCTCAATGATTTTGACTTAAAAAATTAGAAATTACTTAATCTTTACTAAACGTAACATTCTAGACCAACTAAAATCATAATTTGATTTCAAATTATGATGTGTGGACCCGTAATCTCAACCAATGTCTGGCAATTCTAAAATTACAAATTTGCAAAAACTCAATAAAATATAAACAACATTAAACTAACTCCGTATATGAACTAAAAGTATGACTTTAAAACATTACTGATGACCCTTTCCTTTAGGCCAAAAAGTTTTTTTTTTAATATTAATTATGGTGCTTATTTTACGGCACATTGTGTTATTTATGTTTTTTCCTTTTGATTGGGATGACAACTATGTACAATGTTAAGAAGCATGACTTTGCCTAAAGACTAGGAGGGAATTAACTGTTGGATCTCTTTGTGGTTTCCCCTCTTACAGATCCCTAAATTTTGATCTTTGCTCGCTAGAAATAATTCAACTTTATGAAGTTAAATCTAACATTATTAAATCATGAATGCGTATGGCTTGTTCTCACATTGATAACGCTTGATTCTTATTTTTCCTTGAAATCTTCCGGCTTGTAGTATTGCTGACCTTGAAAGTGAGCCTGGCCTGTTTACATCTAACAAAGAGGTAAGCATAGACTTCTGGTGCATCTACACTGCCTTTCGGTACCGTCCTTAAAATCTCTGTTATAGATCCTATTTGAGGGTTTACTTATGAGTGTAATGGTTAGCAGAAAGTTTTTTTCGAAGCTGAAGAGATGGCTAGGAAGTACAGGCAAAAGCTACGAGCCATGTCAACAACACACAAGTTAGAACCCCTGCCAACTGATGCCCTACCTTTTAACGACGAAGGAAAATTATATTCAAATTGGAAATGGTTCAAATTCGAAGGACTATGAACTAGAATGACTAGTTAGTGGTTGCTCGAGACTTTGAACTTGGGAATAGGGAAAATTTGAGCTGCCCCAAGTTTCACCCCGCGGTCTTCCCCCGGCCGCTATGCATGGGAGAAGTAATATATTGAATTAGACATTTTTTTTGTTAAAGTAGTCAGAATCAATGTTATTTCATACACACTGTAATGTGACGTGTATTTCGTATGTCAAGCCATCTGAAAGTTGATGGTAACAAAGCATCATCCCATAGTGAGAGAGTCTAAAGGCATTCTCTCTTGTGCCATTGTTATGTTTGATATGTTACATTATGAGCAATTTATTCTCTTACTTTCATTTATCAGTTCATACTGTATTGGTACTTCTCAGCGTTATTATCCAATCTTGAATCGAATTGTGAATCATTTCATTAAAATAGTGGTGAATTGCATTGAATCGTGAATCACGAATTGTAAGATTTATTTTAGTTAACATAATATATAATTTTATATATGTATATATATAAATAGTGTTTAAAATGGAATATATATTATACGTATATATAATTGCATATACTAATTAATTGATTCATTTTTTTTTATTTTGCAAAAACGACATTGTTCCATGTATTTTGTGCAAATAAAATTGAATTGCATTAAATTGTGGTGAATTATAATGAGTAGTAGTAATTAGTGTTCAATACTTATTAGGGTTCATACTATCCTAACAATGAAAACTTGTGTGATCATTGTGAAAATGGAAGTGCTTCAGTTCACCATCCAAAGGAATGTCGTTATGTTGCCTTAAAGGGGTTATGAGCCTTGTAAGGTACCAAACTTCTCTACCTCGAGCTGAACAGAAAATGAAGAAATCTCCTATGATTCCGTATATCTGACAAGTCGCACTATACGGCAATCCAACATGCATCTTCTTCCAAGACTAGAAAGGGCACTTTTGGGAGCACCAATAGGCATTAAATGATGTTGTGCATTGACAATGAGTTTCAATTTGGTTGAGTTTTCAAAATTTATTTTATGAAAACTTTCAAAAATAAGTTTGATGAAAAAGTGAAAAAATAAAAGCATTAATTATTTTCATACGATTTTTTTTTTTTTTGGAGCGAAAATAATTTTTGAAAATTTCAAAAACATCATTTTTGGATTTTATTTGTCAAGATAATTTTAAATTTTTTAAAGAAAAATTCAAAAAACAAGTTCTAAACACTCACCAAAAGGAGTGATCTTTTAATATATGTGGAGTAGCATCCTATCTACATATTTATCTTTTGGATAAATTACATTGATCTCCCCTGAAATTTAAAATATATATATATATATATATAATAAGTTCTACAATTTTGACATAATTATATTGACCTTCCTTTTTAGTAAGGTTAAAAGGATATAAATTAATACAAATGGCGTGAAAATGCAAAAATAAACAACGTAAAGTATACATCTTCGTATAAAAGAGATGATAACATTATTTTTTTCATTCATATAACTAACAAATTATTGATGAAAAATAGACTGAGTATTATATGAATTAAAATCACTAGGGAGCTCAATATAATTGTATCAAAATTGCAAGAGTTACTATATTTTTTTTAAACGTTAAGGGAGGTTGGTATAATTTACCCTTTTCTTTTTGTTCCAAAAATAAAATAAAAAAATATTTAAGTATCATTTTCGATGGTAAGTAGAATGGGCTATGATAATGTCTTACATTTGATTCTAAGACCAATTTTTGTCAACCTAAAACAAAAGCAAGCTGCGAAGTGTAGAGGCCATCTTTAGTGGTGTTTTTGTTTTTCATGTTTTTAAAAACAATGAAAAGTTTTAAAATATTCAATGTTTTCTTATCATTTTCATTTTTGAATGAAAATAGTTTTCAAAATTTTGAAAAATATTTTTTTGGTGTTATAAACCTTGAAAAGCTTGAAAGCACTCATTTTTTTCTTATTATTTTTATTTTTGGCAAAAAATAATTCATGATGCTTCCTAAAAGGAAGAAGAAAAAAAAAATTGAATATAGTTTGCTAAATAAGTTTTCTATGATTTTCAAAAAAACAAAAATTATAACGCAACCAAACTCCTCATAAAGAGGTTCACGTACTGAATTGGTCTCTTCACAATGAGGTTTGATTAGGGAAAATATTTAAGGAAAGTCAAACTAAACTCAGGTTTGGTTTTTGTCACTTACAATATTATTATTATTTTTAGTACATCGGAATAAATCACCTACAAATTTTTAAGTAAATTACATTTTATACCTCATACTTTTAATAAAATTTTATTATCAAAAGAAACAAGGAAAGGGTTGGTGCGAAAGAAAAATAAAAATAGCAAGTTTTTTATTTCTTCCCGCCAAGAAAGAACTATGAGTCCCTGGATGACTCCCCTTTTCAAAACAAAAAGAAAGTAGAAGCGGGAATTCACCCTACCTAATCAAGTCAGCAAAGCGGTACATCTTTTACTTTAGCCCACTTAACGGTTTATCTTAGCCTTACCCATCTAACTTTCACTGTCCTGTCCTGTCCTTTTTCTGGAACTCTCTTATTGTACTTTTTCTTAGCCACCTTTTTCTCCCTTAATTTTCAATTGTAACAATCAATCTATTACACTTTTAAGTCAAATTATAATATTTTTAGTCAATTTACAATGTCAATTTTCCATCTATATGCCAAAGACAGAAATTAGCACGTAACTCATTTTCAACTTGCGACAATATCCTATGTAACAAGTGAAAATAACTCTTTTCATTATACCAATTTGATTTTACAAAAGTACAAGCTAGTCTTCCTTTTGTGCTCAATCTACAAATTAGCATAATCAGAAAATTATTGATTGTCCATAATAATTTTGCATTCATCTCAAACATCTTCTACTCCATACATCTTAAATACTAGTTTCACACACTTACATTCAATTTTTTTTTGCACCGTGTTAACTCCAGTTTGACACACTTCCCTTATCTTATTTATAACATTGATATTATTTCCAAATGCATAAAGAACATAGGCAACCAATACCAACCTCATATAAGGTTGTTTCATGCATATGCACAATGGCAAGTTGTTTGTCATCAAAATATTAAGTTATATTCATTGCTATATGCATTATTGCAAGTTGTATGTCATCAAAATACTAAGTTATATTCATTGCTAAATCAATAATCTACCGTTGTTAAACTAATAACATGTTATGATACAAATTGTACAAGTTTTCTAAAAAATGTATATTCATTGTTGAACCAATAATTTATTCTTGTTAAACTAGTAACATAGTTATGATACAAGTTGTACAAGTTTACTAAATAGAAGAGTCGATAGTATGCCACAATTTGTTAGACCATTTGTAAATGTCATCTCATTAGTGAAGCTACTTTAGATGATTTGAGTAGTCTCTATTAATGAACATAAAATACCTTACAACTTATGTGAAATTTTTTAGTACAAGTTATAGAATTCGTTTTTCTTGCTCCCAAATGGTTAATGGTTGGTAAATAATCAAATGAAAAACTATATAATCACATTTTTTTTAGTTATAATTTGTCATCGTTAGTTAGACCATTTGCATTTCATTTTTCTTGTTGTCAAATGGTTGTAACTAAGAAAATGAAGAATTCTCTAACCATAATTTTTTAGCCATAATTTCTGGTAACCAGTATCCTATCTTCACCTGATCCAAATGTGGTATTCATACACCTAAGGTCCTTATTTGCTTTTCTGCCTCCCTCTCTAGTCCACCTTCTTCTCTTGTTGAGCCTACCACTTATCAATTAAAACTTCAGAATAAATTGCAACTATGCTTGATGAATATCAAGCTTTACAGAAACAAGGCACCGGGTCTCTGGTGTCTCTCCCTCCTAATAAAACCCTTATTAATGGTAAATGTTTGTTCATGCTAAAAATTTATTAGTTAGACCATTTGCATGTGATCTCAGTAGTGAACGGTAAACGATTGGGAGCAATCACATGATACAAGGAAGAAATAAAAGGTATTAAACTCCTCATTTCAACCTTGCACAGCCATTAGACTAAAAACTCTAATAAAAATTACTTTAATTGTTTGGCCCCTCATTTGGGTTTCAATTTTTTTATTTTTTATTTTTTTTTTAGGACTTAGGCATCCTATTTATAATTACAATAAGAAGGTGGTGTATAGTACAAGTAAATCATGACCATACATTTGTAATGTTCGTGATGTTTGTCTAGATAGAAGAAATTATAACTTACAGACAAATATTTAGAGAGATAAAAGATGAAAGGTGATGAAAGGTGGTGGAAGATTTTAGAGAAATGGAGCGTTAGTATTGACCCTGATGATTCCATTTATTCTAGATTCTTCATTTTTTATTTTTTTTTTCTTATGCTTTACCCTTTAGCATGCAACCTCATGACAACAACCAACTATGAATCCACTCAAGAATGAGGAAAAACTTCACACCCTTAAACCAAAGCTAAATTATTTATTTATTTATTTTCTATTTTTTTTTCCTTCATATTAGTGATTGCATATTTCCCCCCTCCCCTCAAGGGGGGGGGGGTATTATTGTGGGAAATGAGAGGAGGAAAGATTTGGGTGGTGGTATTCTTGGATTTGGTTTGTTGTACATTTTTTAGAAACATGAATGTAGGTATAATTTTGAGCCCATTTTGGGTAGGCTTCAAACGTCTTTTGGGGTGGGTCCGAAAAGGTGACGTGTTCCTTGTCACGTGGCAAGTCACACGGTGAAGACGGAACGTCAAAACCATTAATGAGTGAATGGGAAGTTGATGTCGTTTTTGGGTTTGACATTAATTTTTAGACAAAGTTCATTTGAATTTTTCAATAAAAATTATTGTGGGAATTTAATTTTAATATAATTTTATTTTTGGTTTCCTAATATGGTTTCCTATAATAGATTATATAGTTTAAATATTAAATTCCAAACTGTTTGTTATTCTTTCCTCCATTGACTTTTTTGTTTAAACTATTCAAATAGTTTAAATATTAAATTCAAACAATTTTGAACTTTGCCAATCCAACGGTTTTGTGTTCAAAATTGTTTGGGGGAAATAAACACTGTTCCATGTGATACGGCAGTTTTGCACCTTTTCATTTCCTTTTGCACCTGTTCGGGTCATGTGTAATTGCCTATAAATTCTACATTCCAACAATGTTAAGTATTCGGGAAAAAATTCAGTCTGTAGATTTTTGATATTGCTGTCCATTTTGCTCTAAGTACATATATTCTTCATTTTAGTTTTAGAATAAACAAAAGAGAGTATAGATCACAGGTTGGGTTCGCCGAACAAATTTATTTGAAGTGCTTCTATAAATTTTTGTGAAGATCATTGTATCCTGGGAGATAGACGCCATTCAACCGTAAGCACCGTAGCGGGGCGAA